AAAGAAATTGGAATGTAGTCTTAACTAATCACTTCTTCCCATAGGGTAAGTGCTATGATTAAAAGATGGGTTTTTGACTAAGAATATGGCATCAAATACATCACACAGGACCAACAGTATGCCACAGATGGGACTATAACAACTTGAGATACATTTGGATCTAAGATATTGCTCCTACAAGTAGCTGTGAGAGTCTAATGATTATACAATGCCCATGAGGAACACTGACCTGCCGGTCATTAATTTGGTCTAAATGTTTTGTTACTCTTGCCCGGTCCTACAACATACTGAGTCCTTAAAAAGACAAGAATGTAGGACTTGGATTTTTCATAAAGCTATCTAGAGATGTATAGAGTCATTAAATATTTCTGTGTCAAGTAGAAATTCAGAATTGCATTGTCTTTGTGATTCAAGTGGTGGTGGGGGCAATAGGTGGGGAGATAGAAAGGACTTTCAGTTCCACCCTTAGCCAGCAGGTGGTGAGTTTTGGACTCAGGCCCTCAGGTTTGGGTTATAAATAAAGCTTTGGAATAGAATAGTGACATTAGTGAGAGGAGACAGAGGAATAATATGTACCTTCTGACTTGCTGTTTTTCTGAACCAGATACAGAGTAGAGGGGATATTGTAGAATGGGAAGAATACTGGATTGGGAATGTGGACTTGACCATAGAATCTCTCTTTGAACGGTTTATTGCCATACTATCAGGAAGCAAGTGCTATCGACAAGGTACACATTGTTGTGTGGCTGCAAGAAGGGGTAAACCAAACCAAGATAGGAAAGGTAGTCTGAACTGGGCATTAAAAGAAGGTGGGAGACTTGACATGGAGAAGTGCAGGAGAGCAATTAGCAAAAGGCACAGAGGGAAGAGAATACAGAAGAAACAGGTTGGCTAGCAAGGGAGTCCTGGAGTGAATTTGAAGGGGTCAGAAATCACATGAAGACCCTCATATGCCAGGAATGAACTTCAGTCCAAAGATATCTGGGGGTTAGACAGGGAAGTGAGTCAGATTTCAGTGCTAAGAGGATTCATTTTTGTGTGTGTCAAAAAGCCAAAATTTACCTTATAATTACCAAGTGTACAGCATAGGCAATTCACTTTCAAAATAACCTTTTATTTTTATAGAAGCAGTAATGTGCATTGTAAAAATTTAGAAAAAATATAAGCATATTTTTTTAATGAATATTCCCAGTAATCAGAGACCACCATCTTTAGTTGCTGTTTTTCAGTCTTTTTCTGTGCATGTGTGCAAATGTGTATGTCTATACATGTGGTGTTTTAAAATCAAAATAAGATTATCCTGCTTTATATCTTTTTATAACATTAATCTCCACCTTTTCCTTTTATAAGTTGTTTTTTTTTTAATGTTACTGATTTTAGAGAGGGGGAGAGAGATAGAAACATCAATGATGAGAGAGAATCATTAATTGGATGCCTCCTGCACAGGGGTCTAGACCACACAAGCCAGGCATGTGCCCTTACCAGGAATCAAACCACTCTATGGTTATGGAATGGATTTAAGACATCATATTCATATTTATTTATATTTATTGATTTCAGAGAGGGAGAGATAGAAACATCAATGATGAGAGATCATCATGTGCCTCCTGCACATCCCACACTGGGGAACAAGCCTGCAACCTGAGCATGTGCCCTAACCTGGAATCAAACCGTGACCTCCTGAGTTGATTCATAGGTCGACTCAACCACTGAACCACACTGGCCAGGCAAGGAATTCTATATATTTTTAATTATAGTGGTAAAATTGGACATCTATTTTGTGGGAGAGTTAAATTTTTGCCTACCATACTCAAAAATTAGGTTAACTTAACAACCTATATAATAAAAGCCTAATATGCAAATTGTTTGACCTATCTATGACATGTGCTGACCACCAGGGGGCAACGTGGAACATGGCGGGTGTTGGCAACGCGGTGCCAGCAGTGGGCAGCAGTGGAGGTGCTGCTGGTCCCAATGGGGCCCGATAAAAAAGCAGGACTGCAGAGGGATGGTGGAGCAGGCGAGCGGGGGCCTGATCGCCCCACAGACAGCGACCAGTGTTGGGGCCCGGCCCTGATAGAGTGCCCCGCAGGTGGGATGGTAAAGCAGGTGAGGGGGTGGCGCCAGGCCCTCACAGGGTGCCAGAAGGGACTGCGAGCTTGGGGGTATGAGCTGGGGACTGATCCCCATAGGTCACCCCAAGGGACCCCATCTGCATGAATTCGTGCACTGGGCCTCTAATCCTATGTAATAAAAGGCTAATATGCAAATTGTCCCCTTGGGAGTTTGCTCATTATGATGTGTGGTGACCACGAGGGGGCGGCACGGAATGAAGGAAGGCCCCGATCTGCCCTGATTGCAGGCCAGGCCTAGGGACCCTACCCATGTATGAATTTCATGCATTGGACCTATAGTCTATACTAATAAAAGAGTAATATGCAAATGGTTGGGACACCCTCATATGTAACAACGAATCAGCTGGAGGCTGCTTGTGCAGCAGGCACGGGTGGGTGGGGACTTGCAGCGTCAGCGGAGGGGGTGGGGCCACGGCAGAGGCCTCTGTGCACCTGAGCCGGGGTGTCCGCAGGCCTCCCCTGGCTCCGGCCTACCTCTTTGGGACAATCCATTGAGGAGCCCCGGATGGGTGGGTGGGGCCTACCTCTTTGGGGTGATGGATCGCGGGGCTCCTGCACTGTGACAGCGCACAGGTCAGGCTGGGGGACCTCCCCCCAACCCGAGTGCACGAATTTTGTGCACCAGGCCACTAGTTGATGTATATAAGTACCAGAAAAAAATATTTTAGAAGCCACTGAAGGGAAATGTTGGTAAATTGTATTAAATAAAAATTTTGAACTTTGGTAGAGTAAAAATCACCTTAAACAAATTAGAAAATAAGCCACAGATTGGGAGAAAATAACTGCTATACATAATAGGTTGTGGTAGGAAGGATAATGGCTCTCTCAAGATGTCCGATGTCGTAATCCCTGCAACCTGTGAAATATGTTATTTTACATGGAAAAGGGAATTAAGACTGTAAATGGAATTAAGGTTGTTACCAACTGACTTTAAGATGGGAATAGTATCTTGGATTATCCAGGTGGGACCAAGTGGAAGAGGGAAGCAACAGAGAGCAGATTGATATGAGAACTAGCCTTTGTTAGCTTTAAGATGGAGAAAGAGGCCCAGTAGCTAAGGCTCCTTCTAGAACCCAGAAAAGACAAGGAATGAATCCTGCCCTGTGCCTACAGAAAAGAATGCAACCTTGTCAACCCCTTGATTTTATTTTTCTGACAAAGTAAATCTGTGTTGTTTTGTGGTGATTTGTTATGGCAGCAGCAGAAAACGAATATAGTATCCAACAAATAGTGCAGCAGTGGAAAAATGGGTAAAGGATATGAACAGGCAATTCTAGAAGAAATCCAAATGGCCATTAAACATGAGAGGCACTTGTTTTTGTAGCCTTGGGAATGAGTGGTTGTTGAGTTGACCCAGGGAGAATAAGAGTAGAGGGCTGAGAAGAGATGGAAAGATACGTGGAGAACTGTGGGTCGAGCAGGTGAAGAAGGGGACCATACCCAGGCGTACCCTGGGTCTGCCTAGAGTCTCTAGACCAAGACCAGTTGTGCTCATGTGAAGAGATGTATTGTTCACTTGCTGTGAAGTTCTCAAGGGCAGCACTGGACTGTGCTCCCTGGCCTTTAAGCTTCACCCCATAGAGTAGGGATGTGTGGATCCCAGATGGATCACCTGCCTGTGAAGGGCTTGAGAAGAAAGTTAAGCTTGCAGAATCCTGAGCTCTCTACCTTAGGGACCTGATTCTGAGGGAATATAGTTGCTGGAGAAGTTAATAGGGAACTGGCATTCCCAGCACCCCAGACTCCAAAGAAATCATGAGTTAGATTTGTCTAATTTAGCTAGTTTATTAGGATTTCCTCTGCTTGTCTTCCCAGCCCACAGATGCCAGTACTATCAGCTTTTTTCTCATGTTGACTGGATTTGGTGGGCAGGGGTCCATGGGTACCCGGGAGCTTGGCAAATATCCTTTGGAGACCCCTGCTAAAGGGAGGCTGAGGTGTGGGGGAAGAGAGATGTTTTTCCATTTGGGCCCAAGGGCAGCAGTGCTTACAGTGCCGAGGGATCAGGACGTCACCAGCTCTCAGCTTTGCTCCTCGCTTATCATGGGGACCTGCAGCCTTAGAGTGAAGCTGCTGGGGGAGAGCAGTGTTGAGAGAGTGCTGGTTCCTATGCCAAGATCTTTGGAAAAGTCGGCTTACAGGGACCTCCGCTAGTCTGGCCTGGGCCGGATGGCGCTTTCCTGTAACTGTGGATGACCCCAATCTTGCATCCCCTCCTCTGTGGTCTCCTGATTTGGGATTCCTGGGGTTCTCTCTCTTTTTGGCTGATGCTAAGACTGAAGCCTTGTTCTGTCTGTTGACCGAGACTGGAACCTCAGGGCTGGAGGGCTCTCTAAAGCCTGGGCAGTTCTCATCAGCCTCCATTTGAACAAATTGTCCCTGAGGTGAGACCTGGGCTACCCGGGCCACCATCTTTGCCTTCATTCTTTCCTCTCTCTGAAACCTTTGTTCTGCCCTACCAGACCCTTGTGGCTGAGGATGGGAAGAGGAGTGGGAGTCATAACAGTGGGAGACCTGGACAGGCTGAGTCACTGTGCTCTCAACTTGTGGGGGTTGACAGCTTGAAGACTGGGAGCACAGACTGGGGGGATAAGTCTGCTGGGAAGAACAGGAAGAGAGTCTCCAAGTGCTGGGAGTTGTGGAGCTCAGGGCAGGGGAACTGCCAAATGATTGACTTGGACCAGGGGATCTGGGAGCAGGGCTCAGCTGTAGTTTCTTCAGCCTGAGTTCTAATTCTCTACTCCAGTGCCAAGCCTGGATCCCAGAATGGGTGGATATCTCTAGGACAGCCTCTCTCTGGGAGTGTGGAACCTGTGCCTTAGCTCCTGGGAACAGCTCTTCCTTGGGTAGACCAGGCTGATTGGGCTCAGTCTTCAGAGCTTCAGCTAGGGTGGGAGGCCAGTTTATTGGCTGCAGGGGATCCACTATTGGAGGACTGGGGCCTTGGGGGCTCTCTCTTTGTTGCACATACCTCCAGACAAACTCAGGGTCAATGTGTGGACCTGTTAGAGGAGCAGAAAGTGTGTTGGGAGATAGGGCTGGTTGCTCAGTGGCCCAGCTGTTCTCTTTCTGTTCCAATGCGTCCCCCCCTTGGTCTCTTATAGGCTCACTTAAGTGAGACTTTGACATAGAGTTTGGATGTGGGCTAGGATCCCAGAATGGGGACACAGGAGCACAACAGATATTTTTCTGCTTCATGTCCCCCGATGAAGGGGTTGTAGACTCAGAGGTCCAGAGGTTCTCTATCTGCCTCATAGTCTCCCCCAAAGCCTTGGACTTAGATAGGACTCTCTGGGGGCCCATTCCTAGAGACTCCAGCAGACAGGCTGAAGGAAGGCTGGGAGATGAAACTGAGTCTTCAGAGACCCAAAGATGTTCTCTCTTTTGCATGCCTTCCCATAGAGTCTCAGATCCTGATGGGATACAGGCAGGGCTGGTTCCATAGAATCCTAGGTTGAGGTCCAAGGCTGGGGGCTCAAAAGCTTGTGGATTTCCTCTGCATCCCCAGTGAGGCTTGTATCCAGATAAATCTCCCAGGGGACTGCCTCTCTGGAGTTCTTGCTGGAGGTCTGAGGGAGGACAGGGGGCTGGCATTAGATACCCAGAGGCCGGAGGCTTCTGTGTGTATTCTGTGGTTCCCCAGAAGTCCTTAGATGTAGGTGGTCCTTCAGAGCTGACTTTCTGGGGTTCTGACAGAGAATCAGATTGGTAAGGTGCTGGCATTGGGAGCTTAGAGGCTTGAGAACTCTGTTTATGTCCTGTGGTTCTCCACTGAGACTCACATCCAGGGGGTACTTCCAGGTGTCTAGTTCCTTGAGGCTCTGTTATGGGGGCTACAGATTGGAAAGGGACCAGGATTGGAGGCTCAGAAATCTGAGGATTCTCATTTTGTCGTCTGTTTTCCAAGTGGTCCTCAGCTCCATACAGGTCTTCTTTAGGGCTGACTCCCTGGAGTTCTGGCAGAGAGGCTGGGGTTGGGCTGGGAACTAGCATTGCTGTCTCAGAGGCTTTGGGGTTCTCCTTTTGCACCATGGTCCTCCATGGGGCCTCAAACCTAGTCAGGACTCCCAGAAAGTTAGAGGGAGACTGCAAAGAGGCAGAGAGTGGATCTGCCTCAGATGAGGGGGAAACATTTGAGGGTCTGGTTCTTTGTAGTTCAGGCTGCGGGTGCAGGGCTTGATCCTCAGAATCCTGAGGGGCCGCACTCTGCCACAGAAGCCACTCTGTATGTGCCTCAGCACCAGCATGGACTCCTTTGTGGTCTATGGGGAAGCACTTACGATGGAGGGGTGGTGATGGGACAGAAAGGGAAAGTGGAAAGGGACGTTGCTGAGGATTAGGGGCCATCTCTTCCAGATCTTTTGTAGTATGGACTTTAGGGGTAGGAAGCTGGGTTGGGGACCAATACTGGGGAAACAGCAGGTTGGACCTATGCAGGAAGGAAAACTTGTTGAAGCAGACCGAAGGACCAACAGGTAACTTCAGGGGAGAGGGGCCACCTGAACTCAGGATGATGGCCTCCAAGGACTCACTGTGCAGAGAAGGGAGTCCCCAGAAGAGCTGGCTTTTTCTCTGCTGTAGACCACTCCCTGATGTCTTATGCCTCACAGGCAGGTTGGTCAGGATCTGAAAGGTGGGGAATGATCTAGGAGGGCTTGGGGTCTGTCTGAGTACTAACTCTGTTGTCTCTATGGCCTTGTGGAGGCTCTCAGGGTCACAGGATGGTTGGGATGGAGCTGTGGTGGCTCGCTGTCCAATAGGAGCTTCTTTGGGACGAAAATTTGGCTTCAATGGACCCAGAGATACCGCCTCTTCTTTCTCCTCTTCCTCCTCCTCTTCTTCCTCTTTCTCCTCCTCTTCTTCTTCCTCTTCTTCCTCCTCCGACTTCTGCCTCCACAGATGACCAAGGAAAGCCACATGGTATAGAAGTGATAGGCCCTGGGAAATGGAGAAAAATACTATCAACTTTTTCAGAGTCAAAAGGTGTATCATGAAGCTCTCGGTCTCTGTTCCATATCCATAATGAACAGTTACTCAACTGGTCCCACATCTGTGGTCCAAACAGTCATTTACTCATCCAGTGTTAATGGCCATTACCCAGCACACCAGTGGAGATCAGCATTTCTTACATAATCCTATCTCTATGGTAAGTCATTTCTTACATAATCCTACATCTAGGGTAAGTCACCACTGATCTGGCTTCAAATCTAGTTTTAGTGGTCAGTCACTCTGCCTCACATTTCAGGCTTATAGTCACTTATTTGGGCTCACATCCATGTCAATGATTCCTCACCAAAATTCAGATGTGGCGTCAATAGTTATTCAGACCTCTACACATCTGTGTCACCCACCTTGCCTTGCATGATGTCTCCAGAGTACCAGGGCTGAAGATGTCGCCAGTTCCCAAGTTGCCACCACCTCCGGATCTGCCAAACCATGAACAGGAATAGTATCACTATATTCCCTGTACTCTGGAGGCAACTGCTGCCACAGTGTCTGCAGGCGAGGGAATGGGTCAGCTGGCCCCAGAGAGGCCCCTTGTCCCCCTCAGCCCCAAGCAAGCCCTCTAGCAGCCAGTCCATTTTTCTCAGCCTAGTGGCAGTTTATCTTGATGTCATCACTGTGTCACAGAACAAAGAACTCCCAACCCCCACATGCCTAACAGCCTTCTCTCTGAACTTAAGGTAAAAAAAATGTGTCCACGAAACAACTCATTCTTCACACTGAAACCTGGGTGATCCTCTTTTGTCTTGATTGCCATGGTCAGAATTATGGTTCCAGCATTGTGGTTCAGGACATGAACTCCAGCATTAAAAATGCCTCATTCAAATCCTAGCTCTGGCCCTGGCTAGTTTTGCTCAGTGGTTAGAATGTCGGATTGAAAGGTCCAGGGTTTGATTCCAGTCAAGGACACATGCCTGGGTTGTGGGCTCAATCCCCAGTAGGGGGCGTGCAGTAGGTGGCCAATCAGTGATTCTCATCATTGATGTTTCTATCTCTTCCTCTGAAATCAATAAAAACATTTTTTAGAAAATTTCTAGCTCTGTCACTTCCTACCCATGAAATCTCAGTCAAACTTAATCTTTCAGTGCCTCAGTTTTTTCACCTGTAAAATGGGAATAGTATTACCACATAGGGTTGTTTTGAGAATTAAATGTACACATTTATATGCTTAGGATTGTACAAAGTGTACATGCTATATTAAAATTTTATTTCTTTTAAGGTTTCCCATTACAAGCCTCATTCCATCTTTAATAAATTGAGTCTGTTCCCTCTTTTTTTTTTTCCTTCTTTAAATCTCTTGTCAACTGTGAACTGTCGTATTTGACTTTAGGTTGCCTGCGATATTGTTGGCAAGCATTCATGTTAAGGATGACAAATAAAACGGGGTTTTGAGCTTGACCATTTTTCTTCATTTGCCCCTCTTTACCCTAAAACAACCACTCTGTTTCATGTCAGCTCTTCTTTTCAGGGCCCTCAGTCTCTGCCTGCACAGTACAAGTTAATGCCTCAAAGGCCAGCTTAGTCTGGTAGAAAGAGCACTGAACTATGATTGAGGATAACCTGGGTTTTCTAGTTCTTAGTTTTCTCCATTGCTACCCTAAGTTGGATTAGCTTAATTAATTCAACATATATTTATTGAGTGCCTAGTTTGAATCAGGTATTGTGTTCAGTCTCGAGTAGATAGAAGTAAGACAGAGTCTCTAAAGTAAGTCCTATTTCTGTGGGGAAAATCAGTCAAGTAATCTCTCTATATAAAACCCTAATATGCAAATAGACTGAGCGCCCGAACAACCAGTCGCTATGACGTGCTGACCACAAGGGCACGTGCAGAACATGGCAGGTGTCTGCGGGTGCGAGTGGTGGCGGAGAGAGTGGAGCTGCCAGCAGACAGGGGACTGGGGGCTGCAGTGGGAGGGGCCAGGCGGGGCGCAGAGGATAGGCCAAGGCCCGCCCCCGTGCCCACCGCAGCCTTGCAGCCCACAGTTCCTTTCAAGGTGCACAAATTCATGCACTGTGCCCCTAGTAGACAATAAAATAGAGATATGCACAATAGAGGCAGAAAAGGTTATCTAACCAGCCTGGGGAAAGGGGTTGCCTCAGGGGGGAGGGCAGGGAGAGGGGGTATGTCCCAGAAGAGGATTAATGCTTGGTCTGAGGAACCAAGAAAATGAGAGTGTGGGGAACAAGGGAAGGATAGTCCAAGCCGTAGGAAGAGCCTGTGTAAAGGTGCTAGGGTAGAGGAAAACGTCCCGTTAGGGAAATGAAGGTACTTCAATGTGGTGGGGGTTGAGGAAGCAGTAGGAGATAGACATGGAAAGACAAGATCACAAAGGGCCCTGAATACCAGTCTAAGGAGTTGAAATTTATCCTGAAGGTAATGGTAAATCATTGAAAAGTTTTGAGCAGGGAAGTGACAACATCAAGCTTGTGTCTTGCAAAGAATGCTTTGGCTATAGTGAGGGCAAAAAGATTAGAGAATGAAGGCAAGAGATTAGTTAAGGAGCTTTAATTTAGGCAAAATAAAAGATGAGGCCTGAGCCAAGACAGTGATGGTGGGAATGAAGAATAATGGGTTCAAGTAGAATTCCCCAGGTATAACATTATACTTTGTTACCAGTGGGGTGGGGTGGAGGGAGAGGGAGTTGAGAATAACTCCAGGGTTTCTGAGAGGAAACTGGGTATATATTAGTGCCATTGTACTGAGATAGGGAACACAGACCTGGAAACGAATTTAGCATGGGTTTGGGGTTGATGGGTTCCCTTTTAGACATTGGAATTTGAGATACCTGTGACAAGGAAAAGCTAGGCAAGAGGCAATTGGATACTTGGATCTGAAGCTTGGGAGAACAGTCTGTGGAGAAGATGTAAATTTGTCAGCTGACAGCATATATGTAGCATAAAGATGACCAACTGAAATACAACATTTGTCTTAAAGATGACCAACTGAAATGTAACATTTGGACCAGACAATGTAGCCAGTAGTGTTTTTATTAAGAACTTGAATAAGTAGCCAGTACTGTAAACTTACAGATTGCACATAATAATATTTCACGTTTAAAATCTGACAATACTGATTCTCATTCCCACTAAGTACAGACCATTAGAGTTAAGTAGCAGTTGCTCCCTCCCTTTGAAGTGGACAGGTGCTCTCCAATTCAGCATGGTTCTCATCAGAGTTTCATTGTTAATGCCCAGGCTAAGGGTTAGTTGCTGTTTATCATTTTGTTTTCTTACATTTGTTCATTTTTTTACTCATTTGTATTACCTGCCTGGCATTTGCATTTGCTACCTCTGGATGAAGAAGATTAGGTGCTTAAAGAAGGCAATACTGGATCTTATTCTGTGCTAGTTAATTTACACTGTGGCAGGATAATTTACCAGTTATCTTTGCTTTCTCCTATGTCTTGCCAGTGGGATGAAAAGGCAACTATTGCCCTAGCTCCGTGGTTGGCAAACTGCGGCTCGTGAGCCACATGCGGCTCTTTGGCCCCTTGAGTGTGGCTCTTTCACAAAATACCACAAAATAACACGTGTGGGCGCACACGTACAGTGCGATTGAAACTTCGTGGCCCATGTGCAGAAGTCGGTATTTTGTGGACGAGCCACACTCAAGGGGCCAAAGAGCCGCAGTTTGCCAACCACTGCCCTAGCTGGTTTGGCTTTGTGGATCGAGCATCAGCCTGTGGACTGAAGGGTCCTGGGTTCAATTCTTGTCAAGAGCACATGCTTGGGTTGTGGGTTCGATCCCCATTTAGGGGGCATGAAGGAAGCAGTTAATCAATGATTCTCTCTCATCATTCCTGTTTCAATCTCTCCTCCCTTCCTCTCTGAAATCATTAAAATATATATATATATTTTTAAAAGGTAACTGTTTTCTTCTATTACAGGAATTCTAGGTTTCTTATCTCATAGAATTGTTAGTGGATTATTTATTTTTTAGTCCCAAACTGAAGTTGCAAGACACCTTGTCTACAATCTTATTCAGGCTCTTGTGGGAAATATAATTTAGCTGGGGATTCTTGAAAAGGAGAAGATCGAGGATGCTGGGTTGAAAGAAAAGGAGTTGCCCAAATATAGCAGTGGGCCCAGGGACTTGGGGAAAAAGATGTAGTGATGGGTAGTGATGGGTTCACTAGGAGGCATCAGGACTTCTAATGAGGAGAGCTGATTTAATAGTTAGGGCACTTTTATTGTATAGGATTGGATGTCTTTGAAATCTAGTAAATGAGAGTTTTGAGCCAGATTTAGTTTTAGAAAAAATTAAGTAATTTGATGTTTCTTCTCAGTGTTATGGAACAAATTTATACACTTATCATCCCATTTAATCTCCACAACTCCTTGAAGTGAGTGTTGTTCTCCCCTTTCATGTAAGGGGAAATTGAGTTTGGAAGGCAGAGCTAAGGATTGAGAAACCCCCTTGTACTGTGAGGAATCATTTGGGTTTTTTTGGTGTGTTTTTTTTTTGTGTGTGTGTGTGTGTGTGTGTTTAATATATATATATTGATTTCAGTGAGGAAGGGAGAGGGAGAAAGATTGAAACATCAATGATGAGAGAGAATCATTGATCAGTTGCCTCCTGCACATCCCCTATTAGGAATCCAGCCCACAACTTGGGCATGTGCCTTAGACTGGAATTCAACCCAGGATGCTTCAGTCCGCAGGCCGACACTCCATCCGCTGAGCCAAACCGACTAGGACTGTGAGGCATTATTTGGATATAAATGACAGAAAGTAAAATCCAACAGGTGTAAACAAAATAGGAATGTATGACATAACTGAAAAGTCCAGGGGTAAGGCTGGCTTCAGGTAGTAGGATTGATGCAGGGACTCAATTCAATGTCAGCAGGACTCACTTTCCACTTCTTGGCTCTCTGTCTTCTATGCTGACTGCTCTCAGGTTTTGTGTGGTAGCAGTACCATTGATGCTAAAAATGTGATGTCACTGACAACATCGTGACTTACGGGCTTCAATTGGTATGTGTCCATCCTTGAACTACTCATTACACTGCTCACAGGGGAATGGACTGCTTCTTCTGACAGGTCTGAGCCACACATACACCCCTGGAATCAGGGTGTGGAGGGAAGACCACAACACCTGCACATGGCTGAGACTGAAGGAGTGGAGTGCGGTAGTTCCTTCCGAGGACACAGACATACTGTTTCCAGAAAGGTGTATGCACGCTGGTATAAAACAGAGAAAACAAAACAGATATCCACTACAGCCCTCCCTAACTTCCCCATTTTGGTTTCTGGCCCAGAGCTATCTCATTATTCTTTGATGATTTAAGGCATAACTTGAAGTATGAATACAGGTCCTCTGAAGGTTGGGGAAGAGTCTGGATGGGGCCCAGAGCAGGGATCTTGAAGAGGGGATCTATGGGAGACCCAAACATCTGTGTGGATAGACCATTCAATGACCTAAACTCTCAATTCCTAGACCTTTTCATCTCAGAGTCCTTTACTTCTGCTCCAGTCCAGCTGTGGTCATATCTGAAGCCTCATCATCAGGAACTGCTTGGCCTTCCAGTCTGACATTTCATCCTCTGACTTCAACCTTCAGATTTGTCCTAAAGATGACAATTCTTCAACCTTGTCAGGACATCCATTCCACTGATCTTCCACTTTCTCCCAGTCTGTCAGCAACCTCTTGCCTGCGTTTCCTCCCTCTCCACAATGACTTCATGGTCAACCTCCCAAGCACTTCTCAATTCATTCTCCTTCCATCATTTCTACCTGGCAACATCCCAACTCTCTGCCTCTGCCAGACCTGCCCTGTAGGAAGTGGCTCAGCACTAATGGATAAAATCGCACATGAGTGAGTTAGTGCCCCCATAAACTCACAGTCTGCAATTAATGATCAGCTCCAAGCATCACTTGAAAAGCTTTTATTCA